ACTCACTGTTCCACTTCCCTCCCTCTCGCTTCTTTATGGGACAGATGGGATCTAAGAGTGGGGAGCTCCTGTGCACAGGACTTGTTTTGTGAACATAAGTCTGAGCTCTTTACTGCTGTGATTTTCCACTCCATCTGCATGCATACATAATAAATCACATGCACATTTATATATAGAGATGTACAAGCACATACTGTACACACTGAGTTAGTGTGATCCTTGCTACAATGCAGCTTAGAGTTCACCTACATGACAAAATGAGCACACACACATTCTCTTACTTCCCCACTGTCATATGAAGCTGTGCAGATAGAGGTTTTGGTCTCTGAGCATTCTGCTATCGCCCCTATAGGGATGGATGGATTACTGGACATAGCTCCTCTCTCAGCACTCTTCAAGGGTTTAGGAGGCCCCATCATATCACTGTGCGAAAATTCATCCTTGTGAAATATTTGAATCTTGAGATGTAGGGAGAACTTCACAAGAAAATGCTTGTAGCTTTGCTTCTTCCCATAACTGAATCAACACACTGGAATACATCACTGAAATTGCAGTGAAAATGTTTTATTTTCATGGCTGGTGTGATCAAGCCTTTACTGTGGATTATCCAGTTTTCAGTTTTTGGAACAGTTTTCCATCACCCTTGTTCTTAAAGATCGGCACTAGTACACTTCTCCTCCATTCCTCAGGCATCTTCTCACTCTCTAAAATCCTGTTGAACAAACTAGATAGAAACTCCACTGCTGTCTCTCCTAGACACTTCCACACCTCCACAGGTATGTCATCTGGACCAACAGCCTTTCCACTCTTCATTCTCCCCAGAGCCTTCCTCACCTCATCCTTTCTAATCTTTGCTACTTCCTGCTCTACAATATTCACCGGCACAGAAGTCACTGGCTTTCAACCCCTGTGGTTAGATACAAAGAATGAAAGTTGAAATAATCAGATGAAATTAATGGATAAACATTTGAAGCAGAGAGCTTGGATAGAAGTAATCCATGTTTAAAATGGTCTAACTTCTGCTGCTCAAAGTGGCAGTTCAACTGTAAATCTTATCAATCTAATGTAAACATTGACATTTCCATTTTATGAGACACTATAAAAATCCACTTGTAGTACTACAACTTGGTCTTACTGTACATCCACTTTCAAACTGAAATGACCACATCTGGAGGATGTGTTTCTGAAGGGATAGTCATGCAGTTTGCCAGACATCACTGCCAGACAATGCTAAAGCAGCTTAGAAAACAGAGCTCAGGGCGGTGACTCACATCATTCTCTGCAGGCGATGCTACTGTGACCATCACATGGCCTTGAGCTATCCCTTCCCATGATGCTGCCTTCTTGGCCACAGAGATGGACACAGCCAGGTAGCCGGCCCATGGCCACAGCACCGGTGAATAGGAGACAGCCACATCGATGTGGTCGCCATTCTGGGGGAGGTAGGGCTGCCAGATGGGCTAAACAGGGGAGAGCCAAAGTTAGTAGCCTTAGGGGAAAATAGATTTATTTCAACAACTCAGCAGTTAAAGGGCACAAAACCAGGTCAGTCAGTGACGAAACCTGTCTTTCATTTGTCCTCCTACAGTATTTTAGAAAATTATTTTAAGTAAATTGAGTGTTTTCTACTGAGAACCAGCTAATTCAATAAAACCTGATTTTTCTCTGTTTGTGTTGTCTTGTGTGTGTACCTTGTCAACAATCCTGCCGGTGACACCCATGCCGTTGAGAATGGTCACGTTTACGATGGTGGGCATTCCACCATAGTAGATGGGCTGAGAGCAGTAAGGCCACATATATGGACACTCTGTCAGGTCAATGTAGCTGGGAGAAAGACTGGCAGCAGACAAGGACAGGTTACAATAATGTGACAGTAATAGTAATATGGATTTAATAAATATAGCAAGTCCCTGTAACTGTTACCTCAGAAAATGTTGTTTTAAAATGAATGATGCCCATTGCTTCCTTTCACCTGAGACATGGCATGTGTTGACAAGCCCCTCAGCCCCATCCAACTAATCTGCATTCTGAGATCCATCATAGTACAGGCTGAATTAAGATACCAAGAAACCTTACCAATCCCGCTCATGGGCAGAAAAGCCCCCCAAACACCATTCACAGATATTTGTGTGAAACCTGATCAGTAGCATGTTCAAATCAGTTCAGTGAAGTATCGACAAGCATTGTTCACTGTGCTGTCTACTGCTTGATACTCATCAATGCTACTCACATCCCCACATCCTTCACCTACCCTGGAGTGAAGATGCCTTACCCTGCCTTTTTTAATTTATTTATTTTTCATAGACACCAATACCCTAGCATGAGAACAAATGTCTAGAACACCACGTGTTTATGTAAAACTTATTTAACATCAACAATACTAAGAGTAACTGGCTGTAACAGAAGTAGAAATGTGTACAAGAAATGTCTGCACTTGCTATATACAGTATTTCTATTTATTGCCGATGGAGTGGGCTTGGTGGAGTATCCGCGGGCTGGTGGTGGTGGTCCTGGACAGTCCTGGAACAATCCAGGACCAGTTTTTAGTCCTAGCTTTACCCTACCTACAGGTGGTGAGTATCTGATACTCAAGAAACTGATTTTCAGTGGAGTATTCCTATCAAGGGCAACTCTGACTTTGCTAGTTTGAGCCTGTCACAATCAGGGCTGGGCACCTTTATTGTTTCACAACCGTTGGGTGTAAGCCTAAATGTGCTGGACAGCATTTTTGTACACTATTAGATTAATATAGCCCTAGAGCAGAATCTGGCTGTTATGTGTGCACGTTTATGAATCCATGACCTAATGTCAGTTTTTGTCAACTAATGTCACTGAGACATTTACCTGGCTTGAGGTCTGTAGCTGTTGAGGATCTGGTAAGCTCTGATCAGGTCTAGCTTCCCGTGGCCCTGCTCAAACATGTTGACCCCTGGTAGCCTGCGAGCAGAGGCGATCAAAGCCTGTTTCATTGAGGCTGGGTTCACCAACTCCCGGTTGAGGACAGTGCTACAGGACAGAGGAGGCAGAGGTTGGGTTAGAGGTTATTCATGATTTATGCATGTGCATGTCCACTGAGGTCGAGTGAAGTCATTTTCGTCATCTTCCCAGGTCTGCAAGGGTCTGCGCAGACTCTGTGGACGTCTGTGTGCAGGCCAAAGATTTGTGTCCGCACGGCCAGTCTGCACAGCAAAATCCCTGACTACCACAATGGTTGGAATCCATTGGTGTACACGGATGAAAAGCAGACCCTTAATTTAAATCATGAATAGGAACGCAGGCACGACCCTTGCCTATGTCCACATATGCATGAGGGTATGCACAAAGCATTAGGGGTGCACCGAAATTTCGGCCACCGAAAATTTTCGGCCGAAAAGGCCATTTTTATTTCGGGCCGAAATAAAAAACACGCCGAAAAGGCACG